GAAAGACAAAATACTTCTACCTTTTACGCTAGCTTGTGTGTTGTGGTTCTATAGCGTCTTTGATTCGTTCTCATAACTGTTCATCCAGTCAGTTTTGTGGTTACAAGACCTGCGTATCCATGAAAGCGTGCCTTCTGAACGGAGCAGTGCTCATGATTTGCAGAGTTAGCAGTTTTTACCTGCTGGGGGACTGATGTGTGTGCTTTAGTTGTATAAGTGTGGGAGTAAACCTGCTCTGATGTGATGTTTTACAGTCCGGAATTGTGGGATCATGAAAATGAGACACTTATAAATTACAAAGACAAAAAAGTACATAGAAAATACAGCCGTTACCTCTGTGAGTAATGATGGAAACTTGCAAGTGTGCACATTGGTCTAACGAATGGAATATGGTGCCTGTGCAGTATTTCAGACAGGTTTCAATGACATGAAAGCTTGTTTCTGTGCATTTAATAATTTTGTTTATTAATCTTTACGTTTTCAGTTAGTTAACCTTTTATTTCTTAGGCTTTCCCACATAGGCAACACTGTGGTGATTAAATCCATGTGTGTGCAAAAGCGTTTGGCAAAATTTTGAAAGGCTTGTACGGTAATCTGAATGTGTCAAAGTTAGAAAGAAATTGGGACCTAATTTTTTTTAAGTTAAATTTCCAGTTGATTAGCTAGTGTGTTTTCAAATACACAGAAAATTCCTGGTGTACTTAAAAATAACTAATCAGCAGCAGAGGAGGAGTGGGAAACTTTGTTTTCCAAACAGACTGGACGAATTGTAGCTATGCCTGCCCCATTGGTGGTGTGGTTTTACAATGACCTTCGTTACTTGACAAGCATGGGCTTGACAACATGCTGCACCTACGTGGCTCTAACCGTCTGGCACCCTTTGTTCCCGGGTTGTCAAGAGAAAGCATTAACGTTTGAAATTTCATTCATAGCCTAATGGCTGTGCGCCCTGTCTGAAAGCAAGCCCGGGCAGTACTCAGTTTATTTCATTGCACAAACGGGGATGTTTCTTTTTTTTTTTTGTAAAGCTGCAGCTACGTTACATGTGTTTCAGTGTAATAGCAGCATAATTGAAGACTGTGTCAACCAGTTGGCAACCCTTTCTCTAGTGCCACAGCTCTTGTTTTTAGAGGTCATCTCGTGAATCTCTCGGTTACACAGCAGTAGCCGTGTTCCAGTAAGCGGAGTCACATCTGAGCGTAACTGGAGGCAATGGGCCTCTGTCCTTTGTGAGCTGAGCTAGCCGGCGGGGTAAGGAAGAGAATATTGCTTGAAGCAATAACAGCAGATGGTAGATCTTAACTGCCTTTTTGACAAGGAGGTGGAATCTCATGCGGTCGCGGACCAAGGGCGATTGATTGTCAGGTGCCGCATCCGTCATTAGCCTGTGCTGTGATACCGGCAGGTTGTGTTTGCTGGCTGCTGCCTTCTCAGGCAGAAGAGAAGCACAGAACGTCCCAGCCAGATGCGTGGCTCCGTGTTGCTGGTGCCTGTGCCTGAGGTCTGACCACGCAGGGTTAGTACCAGTTAGCATCTGCACGTCTTCTTACTGGTTTGGCTTGAACAGAGTCGTGTCCTACCCTTTAATAGTTGCAGTTGTGGAAATGGAAAGTAAATTTGATAGCCTGCAACTGAAGAATATAAGTTAAATTGTTTCTGGCTCTGAGATTGCATTTTGAGTGACCTCGTGGAAAGTTGTGGGCTGAATGAGCTGGCTGCTGAGCCGATTAAACAGCAGCGAGGCACTGCAGGAGCGAGAGGCCAAACGGTACCCGGGGTTCCTGGCAGCACTGACGGGTAATGAGCGGAGGTGCACGCTGATCGTTTGGGGTCACGTTGGCATTGCCGAGGCCCATGGAGCCTTGTGGCAGAGATGGGAAGGCAGAGATTATTCAAAGGACTAGCAAAGGCTGCCATTGTGTGATAATATTTCTGATTTTCTGTTCCAGTGAATGTTTCGTGTACAATTGAGGAGTGATTACACGGAGGAGTGCAGTCTCTCCTGTCTTTAAAATGTGGGACAATGAGGGATTTGTGCCACTCTGGGACACAATCATCTCAGTCTGAAACAAGGTCATACTGGGAAGGTTTTGCAGAATCGGCACTTGTGCTGACTCTTCTAGAATACGCTTGAAGTGATAATATTTCTTGTGCACTGGTGTGCTGAGACTCGGCCATTTCAAGCATGAAGAAAAATGCCGTTTAGGAGGTTGGCGTTTCTTCACCAAACAAGTAGGCAGTTTCATTATTTATTTCTTCATATTCAAAGAAGGAAACCTGTAAGATGACAAAATGCAGAATGGCAGCCTTGCAGACTTGTCGTGGTGATTTATTAGTCCAGATACCAAACGTACTCTGTCATACTGACCATAGCACACCTCTAAAGCAGATTTATTTGCCACTGGCTATGGATAGCTGGGATTGTGCAAGATCCAGACCAGGTGCAGTGTCTGAGAGATACGAGTGCGCTTTTCCAGAGGCCTCCGTTGGAAGCTGAGAGTGTGCTGACATGAAGTGACCTGACATGTTACTGTAAAAAGCAAATTGTGGGAGTGTGTATGTGTTTGCATAATAGTGCGTCTTGATTGGGGTTGAGAGGACTGGAAAAAGCTTGCTGCTTGAATTGAGATGACTTAATCTCGCTTCTGTGCCCTGCACCACATTATGGACTCTCCTCTTTCCTCCTCCCCGTGAGGCAGGGGCAGGAGGAGGGGGCTTTTTGGGTTTTGAGCTCAACATGGGTAAAGCATCCTTGTTAACTACCAATATAGTCATTTTGCAGCATGGTGGTTACATGCTGTAGTTTTATCCGTATTTACTAAAACAGTTCGTTCAACTCATTGTCTCCCGAGACCCTTTTCTATAGCAAGAAACGTGGCTTCGTAGGTTAGTAGCTGTCTTTAGGCTTTCTTAATATGTACCCACTGTTGAAAATGGAGTAGCTGAACGGATCACGTCTTTGTCAGTGACAGCTCAGAAGGTTTTTATAGATTGAATGCCTGAGTCAGCAGGATTCCAGCTGCAGTTTGCAGTAACAAGGGAGGATCATAACATTGAAGGTAGGATCACGAGCGCACATATTGACAGAGAAATAGACTGGAAGCGTGTTCACCAGACTACTACTGTATTTATTGCTTTTCTCAAAGGTGTGATGCTTCTGGACTCTCCAGGAGCACAGCAGAGGAGGAAGTAACAGAAGTGATGGATGTGACCAGGAGGTTTTGCTGTTCAATGTGAGAAATGTATCAGCATCTAGAAGTAATGTCCGATTTCCTCCACTGGCCTATTGTTGCTGTGAAGTTGGAAAAAGCGAGCACGTAAGAAAAAGCTGAGACTGTCATTGAATTTAGACTTTTTTAGCAAAGGTTTCTCTGCATTTCTTAAAATTATTCTCATAATTTCTGTGTAAAGTCAACTGCAAAACCGTATTTCTTTTCCAGAATGGCTGCAGCCTCTGGTGGTTTGCCAGTACCACTGTGAATCGGTAATCAGAGGAAACCCAGTATCCTTTTAAGTTGGAGGCTTCAGCTGAGACTGTAACGTAATGCAAGGGCATCTTTCTGAGTGTGAGTGTGCAGATCCTCAGCTACAGGAGCAAAGTTCTGGGTTTCCCATTAGGTATGGAAATCAGAGCAGACATGGAGGTTTGAGTTTTCTCTACTGTTTCCTGTAATTAAGAAAATGAGATAATAGAAACTGTCTGACGCAGTGCCTGCTATAGACGGGGGTTCCACATTGATCTACTTTTAGATAAAACTATTAATGCAAGGTTTCTCTCTGATACTTTTAATACCTCTATATTACAGTTGGCTAATGCTTCACCATTTCTCATGTGATTACCCTTACAACACTGTGATAAAGCGGTGGTATCTATAGAATTGCTGTTGTCTGCAGCGATAGCTCCAGACCTCTCTGTAGTTCTGTGGTTCTCATAGTTAGCTCACTCAGCTGTAAGTGCCCATGAACTTAAAGCAACGAACCTCAGTGGAAGTGACAAGTCTTGAAAACCGACAGCAAATTTAATTCTTGGTTGTGCAAGTAGTTTGTATCTGCTGTTCTTCACATAGCCCGTGAAACCAGGACAAATCTGAAAAGTGGAATTGTAGGAAGAGTTGTAGACAGCAGAGGTGAATCTTCAGGGGAGGAGAGGAGGATGGACCTGTTTTAGATAGAAAACAGTTTGGGCTGGAGTGAAAGCAGAAGGGGTGTGGATAGGACGAGGTTGACCTGGCCAGCCTCCTTCAAGGCTGTTGAAGAAGGCTCTGAAAGGCCGTTTTGCTGGGTACTGGATTATTTGTGGGAGAGGGGCTATGAAGAGTGGCTGTCAAAATACAGGGTTGTCAGAGAGGAGATCTGAAGGGATTGGAAGTACTGGGAAAATACCTATGCGGGAAGGAGGAGAGTTGGTGTTGTGGGTGGCAATAAGAAGACAAAGCGAGCAGCTTTGGCGTGATGTCTTAGGCCTGGTTGGATTGGCAGTGCACGGCTGTGAGGGGAAGGAGCAGCCCTCAACTCACTGGCAGTCGATGACACACCGCCTTGGATCTTCACCTTTCTCATG